CTTGAAGAAAACAACAAATGCCATAGGTTAAGGGGCTCAGTCCCTAAGACGGTGCCTTCCCTCCCCAGTTCTGATACTTATTACAAGCCTCAGGTTATTTTGCCTGTGCTTCTGACTGTCTGGCTATAAGTCTGGGTTCCCATGACCCCCTCCTTAGGTTTGATTTATTTTCTAGAACAGCTCATAGAACTCAGTGAAACACTTACTTATAGTTAATAGCTTATTACAAAAGATAATACAAACAATATAGATGAAAAAGTGCATAGGGCAAGGCATGTGGGAAGGGGTGCAGAATTTCCATGCTCTTTCCAGGTACACCACCTTCTAGTCGCCTCTGTATGTTTAGCTTTCTGGAAACTTTCTACACCCAGTCCTTTGGATTTTTATGTAGGCTTCATTATACAAGCATGACTGATTAGTTATTGGCCATTGGTGATCAACATAACCTTCAGCACTTTTACTCTCCCCAGAGGTTGAAGGGTGGGGCTGAAAGTAAACCAGGTTATCATGCCTTGGTCTTCCCAGTGGCCAGCTGCCACCCTGAAGCTACTAACCACCGGTCAGCTAATAAGCATATGCAAAAGACGTCACTTTGGAGACTTTAAGCATTTTAGGAGATGTATGTCAGGAAACAGGGTCAAAACCCAAATGTACATTTTACAATATCACAGGCACGAAGCAAATTTTAACAAATTTTTAACAATTGGGATCGTATCAAGTACCCCCTCCGACCATAATGATATAAACCTGAAATCAATTAACAGGAGGAGCTTCACAAATACATGGAAATTAAACATACTCCTAAACAACCAATTGACTAATGAAATTAAAAGAAAAATCAAAAAAAATTATTGAGACAAATGAAGATGGAAATACAACATACCAAAACCTATGGGATACAACAAAAATAGTGAAAAGAGGAAGACTCTCAGCAATAAAGTAAATGCCTGCATCAGGAAAGAAAACCTAAAGTTGAAAGTCAGGAACCAGAAAAACAAGAGCAAACTGAGCCCAAAGTTAGCAGAAGGAAGCAAAAACCAAGTACCAGAACATAAATAAATAAAATAGAGACTAGGAAAACAATAGAAAAAAAGTGATGAAATGAGTTCCTTTTTAAAATGATAAAATCAACAAACCTATAGCTAAACTAAGAAAAAAAGAGACGTCAATAAAATTAGAATGAAAAAGGAGACATTACAACTGATACCACAGAAATATGAAGGATTACAAGACGCTATTATAAACAATTATGTGCCAACAAGTTGGATAAGCTAGGAGAAATCGATAACTTCCTGGACCTATGCAACCTACCAAGAGTGAATTACGAAGACATAAAAAATTGAACAGCCCAGTAATGAGTAAGGAGATTAAATCAATAACAGAAGTCATCCATCAAAGAGAAATCCAGGAGCTGTTGGCTTCACTGCTGAATTCTACCAAACTTGTAAAGAAGAATACCAATTCTTTTCATTCTTCCAAAAATGGAAGAGAAAGGAATACTTCCAAAGCCATTTTCCAAGGCCAGAATTATCCTCACACCCAAATAAGACAAGGACCTACAGGAAAAGAAAACTACAGGCCAATATCCCTGGTAAATACAAGTGCAAAAGTCTTTAACAAGATGCTAGCAAGCCAAATTACGTAGCAGATTAAAAAGACCATTAATCATGATCGAGCAGGCGTCATCCAGAGATGAGGATCAACATGCACAAACCAATCAACACGATCCATCTCATGAAGAGAATGAAGAACAGAAACCACAGGATTATTTCTACAGATGTGAAAAAGCCTTAAAAATTCAACATCCTTTCGTGATAAAAATTCTCAATAAATTAGGTATAGAAGGAAGGTACCTCAGTACAATAATGTTTATATACGAAAAACTCACAGCTGACATCACAGTTAGTGGGGGGAAAATGAAAGTCTTACCTCTAAGATCAGAAACAAGACAAGGATGCCTGCTCTTGCCACTTCTATTCAACATGGTACTGGAAGCACAAAGTTGTTAATAACATTTCCTCATAATGCTGGAAGTTCTGGCTGGAGCAATTAGGCAAGAGAAAGAAATAAAGGGATCCAGAGAGAAAATAAAGAAGCCAAATTGTTGCTGTCTGCAGACAACATGACCTTATATACGGAAAACTCAAAAGACTCCACCAAAAACTCTTAGAACTAAAAAATGAATTTAGTAAAGTTGCAGGATACAAAATCAACATTAACAAGCAGTAGTTTATCTATACACTAACAGTGAACTGAGAAGGAAATTTCTTAAAAATCTAATTTTTAATAGCTACAGAAAATAAAATACTAAGAGATAAATTTAACCAAGGAGATAAAATCAATAAAGTACATATGCATGTGTCTATTTCTGGATTATGTATTTCACTGATAAATGTGATTATCTTTTAGCCAATACCAGATTGTTTTGATCACTGTAGCTTCAGAGTGGAGCTTAAACGTAAGTAGATTTCTCTCTCTCTCTCTCTCTCTCTCTCTCTCTCTCTCTCTCTCTCTCTCTCTTTTTTTTGTTATTATTTTTAAACAAATAGATTCGGCTATTCTAGGTTTGCATTTATATATAAATTTTAGAATCATCTTTGCAATTTCCACAGAAAAGACTACCACATTTTGATTGAGTCTGTTCTTGAGGAGAATTGACGTCTTAATAATATTGGGACTTTCCATTATACAGGATTTATTGAATTTACTCCGTAATATTTTATAGTTTTCAGTGTACAGGTCTTATACATCTTTTATTACCTTTTTTACTAGGTATTTTTTGCATTACTGTAAACATTTTAAAAATTTCATTTTTAAATTCTTTGTGCTAGTATAGAAAAATATAATTGTTTTGAAATAGTATTGGTATTTTATATTATTACTTTACTAAGTTCAATTAGTTCTAGGGAAGAGAAAAAAACTTCCTCAAACTGTTAGAGTGTATTTGTGGAAATTATATACCTAATACTTTACTTTTTACATAGTGCAATATTGGATCTGTTAATATTTTGTGAAAAAAATTTGTATCATTTGTAAGTGTTGCTGGTCAATGTTTTTTAATTTGTAATGTGTTTATATGGTTTCGATCGATGGTTAATTTTACTTTCATAAAATGAGTTAGAAAGTGTTGTCTCCTTGATTTTCTAAAAGGGTTTGTGTGTAAAATTAATATTACTTCTTCCTTACATGTTTGCTTAAATTTGTCAGTGTAGCCAGTTTGATAGAAGGCTTTTTATCAATAAATTCAGTTTTTTAAAGATATAAGGTTTTCAGATTTTTTTATTCTTAAGTTTCAAAAGCTTTGTCTTCAATGAACTTGTCCATTTCAACTGTTACTGAATTTGATTAGCATAATATTGTTAATAAGATTCCCTCACTTTTCATGAATGTAAATCTATATGAATGGCCCTTCTTTCCTTCCTGATATTAGAGATTTGTGTTCTTTCTATTTTTGTCTTGATCAGTCTAGTTGTTGGTTTATAAATGTTGATGATCTTTTCAAAAAACCAGGTTTTGGTTTCCTTAATTTTTTGCATTGCTTGTTTCCTGTTTTATTTATTTCTGCTCTTAGATTTCTTATTGTCTTTTCTCTCCTTTGTTTCTTGCTTCTATGGGTGAATTGCACACATTTCTCCCTTTAAAATTAGCACCTCAAGGTATTACTTTTTTCCAAATCCACTGTGTTAGCTGCTTATTTCAAATTTGTATATTTGTATCTTGTATTTTCATTATCCAGTGAAAACTAATTTCTTTATGAATTTCTTCTTTGAGCAAAGGGTTGCTTAGAAATGTGTTTGATTTCTAAATATTTGGTGTTTTCTTAAAAATCTCATTGTAATTGATTTCTAATTTAATTCTGTTTTGGTTGGAGAACATCTTTTGTATGACTTCAGTTTCTTCAAGTTTTTGAGACTTGTTTTGTGCCACAGAATGTGGTCAAACTCATTGAATATACGATGTGCACTTGCAAAGAATGTATTCTGCAGATGCTGGGTTAGTGTTCTAAAAATATCAATTAGGTCAGTGTGGTTGATAACTATATTAGTTGTTTATAACTATGTAATGAATTATCCCTCAACATAGCAGCAGATAAGATATATGTATTTTGAAAGATAAAAATACATCATGAGTTGATATTGATACTTTTTTGATTAAAATTTAGGACTGAGGGTTTTTTTCTTGCTGTTGTTTGTTTGTTTCTTTTGAGATGGAGTCTTGCTCTGTCACCCAGGCTGGAGTGCAGCGGCCTGATCTCAGCTCACTGTAACCTCTGCCTCCTGGGTTCAAGTGATTTTCCTTCCTTGGACTCCCAAGTAGCAGGGACTACAGATGCCTGCCACGATGCCCAGCTAATTTTTTGTATTTTTAGTAGAGATGGGCTTTCACCATGTTAACCAGGATGGTCTTGATCTCCTGACCACATGATCTGCCCACCTCAGCTTCCTGAAGTGCTTTAAACTTACTTATTTTACATGTATATCTCCTTTCTTCCTCACTAAAAAATTGAACAATACCAATATACAGACATACCTGTCTCTCCACAACCTCACCCAACAGTGTATGTTGTTAAACTTTTGGATTTTGCGAGTTTGAGATGAGAAATGGTATTTCCAAATACTTTTAATTTGCATTCCTCTTACCATGATTAATGTGGAATATCTTTTCATATGACTAAGAGACTTTTTACTTATTTTTCCATAAACTCTCTGTCCATATGTTTAGTCTGGTTCACTATAGGTTTGGGTTGACCTTTATTTTTAACCCAGCTTGATCCAGCCATGTACCAGGGAACTGTGCAAGCCACTGTTCTAAGCCCATGAATTCTGACGATTGTCTCTTCCCTAACTTAACCAATCCCATTCCGATCTAGAATTCATAGTGTCTGTGTCCAGATGCCTTGGTAACCCTGATTTTATGGACTTGCCATTCGATCTGCTCTTTTATTTTATTTTAATTAATTTATTTATTTTGAGACGGAGTTTCGCTCTCGTTACCCAGGCTGGAGTGCAATGGCGCGATCTCGGCTCACCACAACCTCCGCCTCCTGGGTTCAGGCAATTCTCCTGCCTCAGCCTCCTGAGTAGCTGGGATTACAGGCACGTGCCACCATGCCCAGCTAATTTTTTGTATTTTTAGTAGAGACGGGGTTTCACCATGTTGACCAGGATGGTCTCGATCTCTTGACCTTGTGATCCACCTGCCTCAGCCTCCCAAAGTGCTGCGATTACAGGCGTGAGCCACCGCTCCCGGCCTCGATCTGGTCTTTTAAAAGTTTGTCTCTCAGTGCTCTTGCAGTAACATGGCTTAGACTCACTTCAATTTGGGTTAATTTGGGTTGTGTATATATCCTAGCATATTTCTTATGGTCTCACCTGTGATTTCTACTCACGTAAGTGCAAGTACGGCTTACTTGCACTAAGATTTATAATTGGGCACCTGAAGCAGCTTACTAGCCAGGTAGTCTTGGTCAAATTGTTAAATCACTTAATCTACATTTCTTTATCTGTAAAATGAGAATAATAACATCTGCTAGTCGTAGAGAGATGGAAATAAAGAACATAAACTCTACTCCAAACTCTACTCCTACCCTACTCATTCAATAAATTATTATCTTAAAAGAACAGTTTGTTAAAGAAAATGGCAGCTGAGAGGGGCACTAGATTAAAAGTTTTTCCAGAATAACACTGAGCATTAAATTTTACTCTAAAATGTTTCTCTTTGCTGGTCAGATACACTCACTATAGAGAAGCTACGAGTGTACCTTTTCCGTGTGAACACATTCTAGGAGCCTTGTGCCTTGCACAGTTAGAGCCTGCCGATAGCCAGCCTCAACTCAATCACACATCCAGGTATTCTCGCTTCATGGCAATACTGAACTATTTATAACTCTTGTAAATTTTTATTTGGCTTTGTACCTTCTTCACATGCCATTATTTTTGTTAACATTTTCCCTCCATTTTCTTGGAAAACTCCTCATGTACTCAGGTCCAGCTAAAACATTACTCAGTATAGGAAAGTTTTTCGAATCTCTTACTCCAGTTTTCCTGGAATTTAAACATCTCTTCCTTTAAACTTCTGTACGTCACATGTGACTTTGATCACTGCAGTGAAAACTTTACATTATAATTGCTTCCCTAGCTGCTGTCTCTCCTGGATCTTAAACTCTTGGGAAAAAATGGGGTATTGTTTATTATGATATCTCTGTGCCTAGCAGAGTACTTTGCCAATAATTGCTGCCTAAAAGATGTGTACTACCAATTCCTACTAAGAGCTTGGCTTACAAAAATGTAAACTTAATAGGCCATTGTCTACATCACCAGTCTCCCACCCCGGGGCAGCAGACTGGTACCAGTCCTTGGCTCTTAGGGACTGTGCTGCACAGCAGGAGATGTGTGGCAGGCGAGTGAGAATTGTGGCCTGAACTCCACCTCTTGTCAGATCAGTCGGAGGCATTTGTTCTCACAGGAGCATGAACCCTGCTGTGAACTGTGCATGCCAGGAATCTATGTTATGCGTTCCTTATGAGAATCTAACTTCTGCCTGATGATCGGAGGTGAAACAGTTTCATCCAGGAAACACTGCCCTCCGTTTCCCCTTGTCTGTGGAAACATTATCTTCCTCAAAATGGATCCTTGGTGCCAAAAAGGTTGGGGACCCTTTTCCATCGGAGACTGTGTGATGTGATTGCAACGATGCTTAGGAAAATCCTTTTGTTCCCCACCAGCAGCCAATCAATACATCACCACTAAACTTTTCTACCTTCTCATTGGTGCTTGAAAAGCTTGTAAAAGACAGTAAATCGTTTTCCTCCACACTCGGAGATAGACTAAATGCACATCAGCCTGGAAGAAGACTTGCATATAAAGCAGGAGGGGGATGACGGGCACGCTGGGCTTAAAGCAGGACTGCGCCAGTCAGTGAGGGAGAGCAAGTCGGAAGTTCATATTGGGACACATTGTGCCGAGACTTTGTTTAATGGTCATAATTTAGATATTCATTGGCATCTGCACTACAAAAATAATCTGAAGAATGTGAAGAAACATGATTTTAAGTAGGAGTCAGATCTATTAATGCACATTTCTCTGTCTACCCCCGATGTCTTTTTCAGAATGCATACGTTCAGAAGCCGAGCGTGCTGCTCGACCAAACGACTCATTGATACTGCATCATAGCAAGGAGAATGTCGCTTTAGGTAGTGTGCGTCTTTTAGTGATAATTCAAGTAGGGGAGTGCTTGATGTCCATATAGGGTTTACATTTTAGGATCTTGAATTGTCTCATGCATTATCTGTATTGTCTAAATGATATTATATTTAAGACTGTTGATACATTTTTCATTCTGAAATTATTTCTATGCTTATTGAGTACCTGCTTTAAGAATGGGATCACTAAACAAACCCATGGTCTATAAAAACTTTTTTATTCAACTTTTGAAACTTAGATTATTATCCCAGAGCACTTGTTAATAAGCATATCTTAATAGGTGTTAATGATATATTTTCCATATCCTCTCTTAACCCTATTGTCTCCAAATTTTTTGTTTGCCATTATAATTAACAACGAAACAGAAAAGAAAAGTTAATAGACTTTATTTTTTAGAGAAGTGCTAGGATCACAGCAAAATTTAGTGGAAGGTACAGAGATTTTCCATTGAACCTCTGCTCTCACACAACACGCAAGGCCTGCCTGGTTATCAGCATAACTGGCTAGAGTGGTACATTTGTTACAATTAAGGAACCTACATTAAAACATCATCATTATCACCCAAAGCCCAGTGTTAGCATTAGGGGCCACTCTTGGGATTGGATTTAATGTTTTCAGGCAAGTACACAATGACGTATCTCCACCATGAGAGCATTTTACAGACCAATTTCACTGCCTAAAAATCCTCTCTGTTTTACCTATTCCTCCTTCCCTGCCAGCTAACTACAGGCAATACTGATATCCTGTCTCCACAGTCGTGTCTCTTCCAGAGTGTTACATAATTGGAGTGTTACAGTAGACGGCATTTTCAGACTGGTTTTTTTCACTTAAAAATATGCATTTAAGTGTCCCCATGACTTTTCATGTCTTAATGGCTCATTTGTTTAGTACCAAATAATATTCCATTTTGGACTATACCACAGTTTATTTATGTATTTGCCTGCTAAAAAAACATCTTGGCTGCTACCAAGTTTTGGCAATTATAAAAAAAGCTGCAATTAACATCCATGCACAGGTTTTTGTATGAACGTAAGTTTTTAACTATTTGGGTAAATAAGAAAAAACATGATTGGATTGCATGGTGAGAGACTGCTTAGCTTTGTAAGAAACTGCCAAACTGTATTTCAAAGTAGAGGTACCACTTTACATTCCTGCTAGCGTTAATGAGAGTACATGTTCCACTCCTCCCCTCTGGTGTGTAGTGGTTCCCATTGTTGTTTTAATCTGCCTTTCTCTGATGACATATGATGCAGAGCATCTTTTCATACGCTTCTTTTCCATACCTAGATACATTTTCCATATATGTCTTCTTTGGTAAAGTGTCTGTTAAGATTTTTCACCTGTTTTTTAATCTGGTTGTTTGCTTGCATATTGCTGAGTTTTAAGAGTTCTTTATGTGTTTTGGATAACAGTCTTTGATTGAATCCGTCTTTTGCTAATACAGTTGGCCTTCTGTATCCATGGGTTTCAAATCTGTGGATTCAACCAACCATGGATTGGAAATATTTGGAAAAATTCCACAAACGTCTAAAAAGCAAAACTTGAATTTGCCATACTACATTGAGTCCGCAGGATGTCGGGATATACAGGCATTGGATTAGGTATTGTAAGTAATCTAGAGATGATCTAAAGAATACAGGTGGTTATATGCAAATACTAAGCCATTTCATAGAAGGTATATGAGCATCTGCGGATTTTGGTATCCGTGGGGTGATACAACCAATCCCCCATTTGTAGCAAGGATGACTGTGGTTTTTTTTCTAGTATGTGGCTTGTGTTTTCATTCTCTTGACAGTGTCTTTCACAGACTAGAAGTTTTTCATTTTTCTGAAGTCCAGCTTCTCAACTCTTTATTCCATGGATTATGCCTTTACTCTGATAGCTAAAACCGAAGGTCATTTAGACTTTCTCTTACGTTACCTTTTAGGATTTTTTTTAATTTTGCATTTTATTTTTAGGTCATGGATGGATTTTGAGTACATTTTTGTGAAAGGTGTGAGATCTTTATCTAGATTCAGTTTATTTTTGCATATGGATGCCCAGTTGTTCCAACACCATCTGTTCAAAAGACTCCAATGTATTGCCTTTGCTAGTATTTATGCAGGTCTATTTCTAGGCTCTCCATTTGGTTTCATTTGGTTATCTGTGTCTTCTTCTGCTAATACCACGCTGTCTTGATTATTGTGGCTTTACAGTAAATCTTGAAGTTGGATAGTGTCACGCCCCCAGCTTTGTTCCCCTTCGATGTGTTGACTCTTCTGAGTTTTTTGCCTCTCTTGATAAACTTAAAAATCTATTTGTTTATATCCAAAAAATAACGTGCCGAGATTATGATGAGGATTGTGTTGGATCCATAGACCAAGTGGGAAAAACTGGCATTTTGATAATATTGATTCACCCTAGCTGTGAACACAAGGTCTCTCCCCTTTTACTTTCATTTTCTTTGATTCTTTTTCATCAGAGTTTCACCATTTTCTTCGTGTAGATGTTGCACATATTCCGTTAGACTTATACCTAAGTATTTCACCTTGGGGATGCTAATATAAATGGTATTATGTTATATAATTTCAAATTCCACTTGTTCACTGCTGGCTTATAGGAAAGTGATTGGCTTGTAAAACACAAGGTTAACATACAAAACTAATTTGTTATTTTTTTTGGTCAATTCCTTCAGATGCTTTACATAGATAATTACATCATGTATGAGCAAAGACAATTTTATTCCTTCATTACCAATCTTGATCCATTTTATTAATTTTTTTCTTGTCATTGCATGACTTAGAAATTCCAGTTGAAAAGCAGTGGTGAAAAGAGTCATCCCTGCCTTGTTTCTGATCATAGTGAGAAAGCTTTCAGCATTAATTATGAAGTTAGCTGTAGAGTTTCTTGTAGATATTCTTTAAATTGAGAAAGTTTCTTTTTATCCCAGTTTACTGAGAGTTTTTAAAAACTCATAAATGAGTGTTAAATTTTGTCAAATGCTTTTTCTGTATCAATTGAAATGATCATATGATTTTTTTTCATTTAGCCTATTGATGTGATGGATGATATTAATTAATTTTTGAATTTTGAGCCAGCCATGCATATCTGGAATAAACTCCATTTGGTCATGAAATACAATTCTTTTAATACATTCTTGGATTTGATTTGCTAATATTTTACTGAGGATTTTAAGATGTATGTCTATGAGAGATAATGGTCTGTGGTGTTCTTTTTTAGTAATGTTTTTGTCTGGTTTAGATATCAGGATAATGCCAACCTTACAGAATGAGCTAGGAAGCATTCCCTCCACTTAGGTTTCTGAAAGAGATGATAGAGAATTGGTATAATTTCTTCCTTAAATATTTAACAAAATTGATCACTGAACCCATCTAGGCCTAGTGCTAACTGTTCTAAAAGGTTATTAATTATTGATTCAGTTTATTTAATAGATATAGTTCTGCTTAATTTGCCTCTTTCTCTTTCAACTTAATTGATAGACAGAGTCCTGTTTAAATGGCCAAACTGTTTTGGCAGGTTTTGTCTTTTAAAGAATTGGTTTATTTCATCTGTGTTACCAAATTTGTGGGCACAGAATTCTTTATAGTACTCCATTTTCTTTATTTTTTAAAAACTGTAATACAGCAACTTTTCAAAAACATAATTTGAAATAGGTTAAAACTATGGTGACTGTAAAACATTCTACAGAGCTAAAGGGAAGGAATGCACATCGGACTCAGAAACTATGGAATTAGAAAGTTGAACTAGGTGAACTAGTTGAGGACTCTCATCTTTGTTTGTCTCCTGCTTCTGCTTTATTCTGTAGATATTCTTTAAGTGGAGAAACTTTCTTTTTATCCCAGTTTACCGAGAGTTATTCTAGTCCACGTTCTGAAGCCTACTTCCGTCAATTTGTCAAACTCTTTCTCAGTCCGGTTTTGTTCCCTGGCTAGTGAGGAGTTGTGATCCTTTGGAGGAGAAGAGGCGTTCTGGTTTTTGGGATTTTCAGCCTTTCTGTGCTGGTTTTTCCTCATCTTTGTGAATTTATTTACCTTTGGCCTTTGATGCTGGTGACCTTCAAATGGGGTTTCTGTGTGGATGTCCGTTTGTTGATGTTCATGCTATTCTTTTCTGTTTGTTAGGTCTCCTTCTAGCAGTCAGGCCCCTCTGCTGCAGGTCCGCTGGATTTTGCTGGAGGTCCACTCCAGACCCTGTTTGCTTGGGTATCACCAGCATAGGCTGCAAAACAGCAAAGATTGCTGCCTGTTCCTTCCTCTGGAAGCTTCATCCCAGAGGGGAACCCACCAGATGCCAGCCAGAGCTCTCCCATGTGAGATGTCTGTCAACCCTTGCTTGGAGGCATCTCCCAGTCAGGAGGCACAGGGGTCAAGGACCCACTTAAGGAGGTAGTCTGTCCCTTAGCAGAGCTCGAGTGCTGTGCTGGGAGGTCCGATGTTCTCTTCAGACCCAGCAGGCAGAAACGTTTAAGTCTGCTAAAGCTGAGCCCACAAATATCCTTTCCCCCAAGTACTCTGTCCCAGAGAGATGGGAGTTTTATTTATAAATCCCCAACGGGGGATGCTGCCTCTCTTTCTGAGATGACATGCCCAGAGAGAAGGAATCTAGAGAGGCAATTTGGCAACAGCAGATTTGCAGAGCTGCGGTGGGCTCTGCCCAGGTTGACTTTCCTGGTGTCTTTGTTTACACTGTGAGGGGAAAACTACCTACTCAAGCCTCAGTAATGGCAGATGCCCCTCCCCGCACCGAGCTCAAGCATCCCAGGTCAACTTCAGAATTCTGTGCTGGCAGCGAGAATTTCAAGCCAGTGGATCTTAGTTTGATGGGCCCTGTGGTGGTGGAATCCACTGAGGTAGACCACTTGGTTCCCTGACTTCAACCCCCTTTCCAGGATAGTTCACAGTCTGCCTTGCGGTATTCCAGGTGCCACTGGGGTATGAAAAAAAAAAACTGAAGCTAGCTTGGTATCTGCCCAAATGGCCACCCAGTTTTGTGCTTGAAACCCACAGCCCTGGCGGCATAGGCACCTGAGGGAATCTCCTGGTCTGTGGGTTGCAAAGACCATGGGAAAAGCATAGTATCTGGGCTGGAATGCAGCATAGAAAACTTAGTAACATTTCTATATACAAACAACAAACCAGATGAAAAAGAACTCAGTAAAGCAGTCTCATTTTACAATAGCTACAAAAATAAATAAATAATCTAGGAACAAATTTAACCAAGGAGATGAAAGATCTCTGCAAGGAAAACCATAAAACACTGAAGAAAGAAATCTAAGAAGACACAGAGATACGCCTCAAGAAGAGCAACCCCAATACACATAATCATCAAATTCACCAAGGTTGAAATGAAGGAAATAATGTTAAGGGCAGCCAGAGAGAAAGGTAGGGTTACCCACAAAGGGAAACCCATCAGACTAACAGTGGATCTTTCTGCAGAAACTCTACAAGCCAGAAGAGAGTAGGAGCCAATATTTGACATTCTTAAAGAAAAGAATTTTTAACCCATAATTGCATATCCAACCAAACTAAGTTTCATAAGTGAAGGGGAAATAATATCCTCTGAAGACAAGTAAATGCTGAGAGATTTTGTCACCACCAGGCCTGCCTTACATGAGCTTCTGAAGGAAGCATTAAATATGGAAAGGAAAAACCAGTACCAGCCACTGCAAAAACACACCAAATTGTAAAGATCATCAACATTATGAAAGAACTGCATCAACTAATGGGCAAAATAACCAGCTAGCATTATAATGACAGGATCAAATTTACATGTACCAATATTAACCTTAAAGGTAAATGAGCTAAATGCCCCAATTAAAAGACACCAACTTGCAAATTGTATAAAGAGTCAAGACTCATTGGTGCTCTGTATTCAGGAGACCCACGTCATGTGCCAAGACACACATAGGCTCAAAATAAAGGGATGGAAAAATATTTACCAAGCAAATAGAAAGCAAAACAAAAGAAAAAGAAAAAGGCAGGGGTTGCAAGCCTAGTCTCTGATAAAACAGACTTTAAACCAACAAAGATTAAAAAAAAAGAGAAGAAGGGTATTACATAATGGTAAAGGGATAAATGCAACAAGAAGAGCTAACTATCCTAAATATATATGCACCCTGTACAGGAGCACCCAGATTCATAAAGTAAGCTCTTAGATGCCTACAAAAAGAGACTTAGACTCCCACACAATAGTAGTGGGAGACTTTAACATCTCATTGTCAATATTAGACAGTTCAACGAGACAGAAAATTAACAAGGATATTCAGGACTTGAATTCAGTTCTGAACCAAGTGGATCTACTAGACATCTACAGAACTCTCCACCCCATATCAACAGAATATGCATTCTTCTCAGCATCATGTCACACATATTCTAAAACTGACCACATAATTGGAAGTAAAACACTCCTCAGCAAATGCAAAGGCACAGAAATCATAACAGTCTCTCAGACCACAGTGCAATCAAACTAGAACTCAGGACTAAGAAAATCACTCCAAACCACACAACTATATGAAAACTGAACAATCTGCTCCTTAATGACTACTGAGTAAATAACAAAATTGAGTCAGAAATAAATACGTTCCTCGAAATCAATGAGAACAAAGACACAATGTACTAGAACCTCTTGGACACAGCTAAAGCAGTGTGTAGAAAGAAATTTATAGCACTAAATTCCCAGAGGAGAAAGGAGAAAAGATCTAAAATTGATACTCTAACATCACAATTAGAAGAACTAGAGAAGCAAGAACAAACAAATTCAACAGCTAGCAGAAGACAAGAAATAACTAAGATCAGAGCAGAACTGAAGGAAATAGAGACACGAAAAACCCTTCAAAAAATCAATGCATCTAGGAGCTGGTTTTTTGGAAAAGAATACCAAAATAGATAGACTGCTAGCTAGACAAATAAAGAATAAAACAGAGAAGGATCAAACAGATACAATAAAAATGATAAAGGTGATATCACCACTGATCTCACAGAAATACAAACTATCATCAGAGAACAGTATAAAGAACTCTAGGCAGATAAACTAGAAAATCTAGAAAAAAAAATGGATAAATTCCTGGACACATACACCCTCCCAAGACTAAACCAGGAAGAAGCTGAATCCCTGAATAGACCAATAACAAGTTCTGAAATTGAGACAGTAATTAATAGTCTACCAGCCAAAAACAAGCTTCGGACCAGACAGATTCACACCCAAATACTACCAGAGGTACAAAGAGGGGCTGGTACCATGCCTTCTAAAGCTATTCCAAACAATAGAAAAAGAGGGACTCCTCCCTAACTCATTTTATGAGGCCAGCATGATCCTGACACAAAACCTGACTCAGACACAACAAAAAAGAAAATTTCAGGCCAGTATCTCTGATGAACACCAATGTGAAAATTCTCAATAAAATACTGGCAAATTGAATCCAGCAGCACATCAAAAAGCTTATCCACCACAATTAAGTTGGCATCAGACCTGGGATGAAAGGCTGGTTCAACATATGCAAATCAAGAAATGTAATGCATCACATAAACAGAACCAAAGACAAAAACCACATGATTATCTCAATAGATGCAGACAAGGCCTTTGATTAAATTCAACACCCCTTCATGCTACAAACTTTCAATAAACTAGGTATTGATGGAATGTATCTCAAAATAATAAGAGCTATTTATGACAAACCCACAGCCAATATCACACTGAATGGGCAAAATCTGGAAGCATTCCCTTTGAAAACTAGCACAAGAGAAGGATGCCCTCTCTCACCACTCCTATTCAACATAGTATTGGAAGTTCTGGCCAGGGCAATCAGGCAAGATAAAGAATATAGAGTATTCAAATAAGAAGAGGAGAAGTTAAATTATCTTTGTTTCCAGATGTAATGATTGTATATTTAGAAAACCTCATCTTCTCAGCCCAAATCGCCTTAAGCTGATAAGCAACTTCAGCAAAGTCTCAGGATATACAATCAATGGGCAAAAATCACAAGCATTCCTATACACGAATAACAGACAAATAGAGAGCCAAATCATGAGTGAACTCCCATTCACAACTGCTACAAAGAGAATAAAATACCTAGAAATACAACTTACAAGGGATGCGAAGAACCTCATCAAGGAGAACTAAAAACCACTGCTCAAGGAAATAATGAGGATACAAACAAATAGAAAAACATTCCATGCTCATGGATAGGAAGAATCAATATCAGGAAAATGACCACATTGCCCAAAGTGATGTATAGATTCAGTGCTATCCCCATCAAGCTACTACTGACTTTCTTCACAGAACTAGAAAAAACGACTTTAAATTTCACATAGAACCAAAAAGGAGCCCACACAGCCAAGACAATTCTAAGCAAAAAGAATAAAGCTGGAGAGATAGCAGCCATCTCTTGGTCGGCACTGCAGACATTCAGCGAGTTGTGTCATCTCCATTTTACAGGCATCATGGCCTTAAACACCTTGTGAAACCCAAGATCGTCAAAAAGAGAACCAAGAAGTTCATCCGGCACCAGTCAGACCGATATGTCAAAATTAAGCGTAACTGGCGGAAACCCAGAGGTATTGACAACAGGGTTCGTAGAAGGTTCAAGGGCCAGATCTTAATGCCTAACATTGGTTATGGGAGCAATAAGAAGACAAAGCACATGCTGCCCAGTGGCTTCCGGAAGTTCCTGGTCCACAACGTCAAGGAGCTGGAAGTGCTGCTGATGTGCAACAAATCTTACTGTGCTGAGATCGCTCACAATGTTTCCTCCAAGAATCGCAAAGCCATCATGGAAAGAGCTGCCCAGCTGGCCATCAGAGTCACCAACCCCAATGCCAGGCTGCGCAGTGAAGAAAATGAATAGACAGCTTATGTGCACGTTTTGTGTTTAAATAAAACTGCCATCTTCCTTAAAAAAAAAAAAAAAAAAAAGAATAAAGCTGGAGGCATCACGCTACCTGACTCAAATTATACTACAATGCTACAGAACCCAAAACAGCATGGCACTGGTACCAAAACAGACATACAGACCAATGGAACAGAGCAGAGGCCTCTGAAATAACGCCATACATTTACCACTATCTAATCTTTGACAAACCTAAAAAAACAAGTAACGGGGAAAGGATTACATATTTAATAAATAGTGTTGGGAAAACTGGCTAGCCATATGCAGAAAACTGAAACTGGACCCCTTCCTTATACCTTATACAAAAATTAACTCGATGGATTAAAGACTTAAAGGTAAGCTTTAAAACCATAAAACCCTAGAAGAAAACCTATTCAATACCATTCAGAACATAGGCATGGCCAAAGACTTCGTGACTAAAACACCAAAAGCAATGGTAACAAAAGCTAAAATTGACAAATAGGATGTAATTAAACTAAAGATCTTCTGCACAGCAAAAGAAACTCATCAGAGTGAGCAGGCCACCCATTGAAGAGGAGAATATTTTTGTAATCTATCTATTTGACAAAGGGCTAATATTCAGAATCTACAAGGAACTTAAACAAATTTATAAGAAAAAGACAAACAACCCCATCAAAGAGTGGGTGAAGGATATAAATAGACACTTCTTAAAAGAAGACATTGATTCGGCCAACAAACATATAAAAAAAAGCTCATCATCACTGGTCATTAGAGAAATGCAAATCAAAACCACAATGAGATACCATCTCATGCCAGTTAGAATGGTGATTATTAAAAAGTCAGAAAACAACAGCTGCTGGAGAGGGTGTGGAGAAATAGGAACATTTTACCCTGTTTGCGGGAGTGTAAATTAGTCCAACCATTATACAAGATAGTGTGGTGATTTCCCAAGGATCTAGAACCAGAAATATCATTTGACCCAGCAATCTTATTACTGGGTATATACCCAAAGGATTATAAATCATTCTACTGTAAAGACACATGCCCTCGTATGTTTACTGCAGCACCGTTCACAATAACAAAGACTTGGAACAAACCCAAATGTCCATCAACGATAGACTGAATAAAGAACATGTGGCACATCTGCACCATGGAATACTATGCAGCCATACAAAAGGATGGGTTCATGTCATTTGCAGGGACATGGATGAAGCTGGAAACCATCATTCTCAGCAAACTAACTCAGGAACAGAAAACCAAATAACGCATGTTCTCACTCATAAGTGGGAGTTGGACAATGAGAACACATGAACACAGGGAGGGAAACATCACACACTGGGGCCTGTAGTGGGATGGGGCTAGGGGAGGAATAGCATTAGGAGACATACCTAATATAGATGATGGGTCGATGGGTGCAGCAAACCACCATGCATGTGTGTACCTATGTAACAAACATGCACATTCTGCACATGTATCCCAGAACTTAAAATATAATTTTTAAAAAGCTACTGAGGAAATAATAAGATTGATGTATCATTATTCTCTGAATATTATTCAGCACAGGAATGGTTTCAAAAGGGTCTTTACTAAACTCAGCTATATGATATATCTTTTTTCTTTTTTCTTTTTTTTTGAGAAGGAGTTTCGCTCTTGTTGCCCAGGCTGGAGTGCAATGGCGCGATCTCGGCTCACTGCAACCTCCGCCTCCTGGGTTCAGGCAATTCTCCTGCCTCAGCCTCCTGAGTAGCTGGGATTACAGGCATGCGCCACCACGCCCAGCTAATTTTTTGTATTTTTAGTAGAGACGGGGTTTCACCATGTTGACCGGGATGGTCTTGATCTCTTGACCTCGTGATCCAACTGCCTTGGCCTCCCAAAGTGCTGGGATTACAGGCTTGAGCCACCGTGCCCGGCCTATATATCTTATAAAGGAAAAAAATCAGAATAAAAATCTTTGTAATTAAAAAAAATTAAGCTGTGAAGCCATTTGTTTCTGGACTTTTCTTTTTTGGGAGACTTTTCATTACTAATTCAATCTCATTACTCATTATTGGAATGCTCAGGTTTCTCATTTCTTTTTCGTTTAAAGTTGGTTGGTTGTCTGTATCCAGGAATTTATCAGTTTCCTCTAGTTTTCTCAACTTATTTGTGTGTAGTTGTTCGTAATAGTTTCTAATGATCATTTATATTTCTGTGGTCTCGGTGATTATGTCTCCTTTTTGTTTCTGATTTTATTAATTTGTTTTTTCTCCATTTTTCCATGGCCACTTAGCTAATGGGTTGTGAAGTTTGTTAATCTTTTTACAAACCCACAGCTTATATCATACTGAATGGGCAAAAGCTGGAAGCATTCCTTTTGAAAACCAGCACAAGACAAGGATGTCCTCTCTCACCACTTCTATTTAACATAGTATTGGAAGTTGCTGACAAAAGAAAGGAACAAAAAAATTCTCATAAAAACAGAGGAGGTCAAATTATCTTTGTTTGCAGATGACATGATTCTATATTTAGGCAACCCCATCATCTCAGCCCAAAAGCTTTTTAACCTGGCAAGTAATAACTTCTGCAAAGTTTCAAGATACAAAAATCAATGTGCAAAAATTGCTAGTATTCCTACATACCAACAACAGACAAGAGCCAAATCACAAATGAACTCCCATTCACAATTGCCACAAAAAATAAAATATTTAGGAATACAGCTAATAAGGAAGTGAAAGACCTCTTTAAGGAGAGCCATAAAGCACTGTTCAAAGAAATAATAGATTATACAAACAATGGAAAAACAATTCCATGCTCATGGATAGGAAGAATCAATACTGTGAAAATGGGGCCATATTGCTCAAAGTAATTTATAGATTCAATGCTATTCCCATTAAACTATAATTGACATTCTTCACAGAATTAGAAAAAAACATCTTAAAATTCATATGGAACCAAAACAGAACCCAAATAGCCAAGGCAATCCTAAGCAAAAAGAACAAAGCTGGAGGCACCACGCTTCCTGACTTCTAACTATACTATAGGGCTACAGTAACCCAAACAGCATGGTAGTTGTAAAGGACAGATACATAGACCAATGGAACAGAATAGAGAACCCAGAAACAACACTGTACACCTACAACCATCTGATCTTTGGCAAACCTGACAAAAACAAGCAATGGGGAAAGGATTCCCTATTTAATAAATGGTGCTGGGACAGCTGGCTAGCCCTCTACAGAAAACTGCAAGTAGACCCCTTCTGATATGGTTTGGCTGTGTCACCACCCAAGTCTCATCTTGAATTTATTTTCTATAATCTCCATGTGTTGTGAGAGGAACCTGGTGGGAGGTAATTTAATCATGGTTACCCTCATGCTGTTCTCATGATAGTGAGTCAATTCTTTTTAGATATATATATGGAGTCTTGCTTTGTTGCCCAGGCTAGAGTGCAGTGGCATGATCTTGGCTCACTGCAACCTCCACCTCCCAGGTTCAAGCAATTCTCCTGCCTCAGCCTCTGAAGTAGCTGGGATTACAGATGTCTGCCACCACGCCTGGCTAATTTTTGCATTTTTAGAAAAGATGGGATTTCACCATATTGGCCAGGCTGGTCTTAAACTCTTGACCTCAGCTGATGCACCCTCTTCGGCATGAGCCACCATGCCTGACTGGGTCTTTATTTTTAATTCACTTGGCTGGTCTAAATCTTTTCATTGGGAAATTGAATCAATTTACATTCAAGGTTATTTGATAGATGAGAACTTACATCAGTCATTTGATTTTTTTTTTTTTTTTTTTTCTGGTTGTTGACTGTGTCTCCTTTATTTCTGAAGGGTAGTTTTGCTGGATATAATATTGACTGACAGTTACTTTCTTTCAGTATTTTGAATGTATCATTCAATTTTCTCTTGGCCTGTAAGGTTCCTGATGAGAAATCTGCTATCAGTATAATGGGGATTCCCTTATATTTGGCTTGTTGCTTTTCTCTTGTTGGTTTTATAATTCTTCCTTTGTCTTTGACTTTTGATAATTTGACTATAATGTCCCTTAGTCCCTTAGAGAGGATGCATTTGGGTTGAATCTATTTGGAGACTTTTGCACTTCCTAGATTTGGATATCTCCCTCTCTCCCAAGACTTGTAAAATTTTTCACTATTATTTTATTAAATGTGTTTTTTATGCCTTTTTCTTTCTTTTCTCCTTCCAGAATTTTATAATGTGAATGTTTTTTGCTTACTGGTGTATCATAAAGCCTGTAAACTTTAAAAAAAATGTTTTTCTTTTAAATCCTCATGTAGTAGTTCAAAAGACCTGTCTTCAAGTTCAGAAGTCCTTTCTTCTAATTTTTCCATACTGTTATTGAAAAATTGTTATATTTCATTCATTGACTTTTTCAGCTCTATAATTTGTTTGGTTCTTTTTTTATGATAGCTATCTCTTTGTTGAATTTTCCATTTAAATCATAAATTGTTTTCCTGATTTTATTTGTTTATCTGTATTCTCCTTTATCTGAGTTTCCTTAAGATTATTATTTTGAATTCTTCTTTCAGCATTTCATATATTGCCTTATAATTGCTTCCATTATTGGAGAATTACTGTGTTCCTTTGGGGGGTCTATCATATTTTCTTGCTTTTTCATGTTTGATGTTTTTCTATGTTGATACTTAAACATCTGATGCAATGGTTGCCTCTTCTAATTTTATGGTATAGGCTCCTTAGGAGAAAACTTATTCATATATAATCCACTTTAGTGATGTTTGCAAATGTTCCTGTGACCTAGAGGTGGTGAGAGTTTGTGGCAGCAGCGGCACAGCTTTGCTGGGAGTTGGTTTGCCAGTCTGTTTTTCAGGTCATGGGTGCTTGTGTACACATGGTGGGTTACTCAACCTGGCATCTGGCTTGCTGGCTTTGGGATTATGGGGCTGTTTCCCCAGCCAGGGGCACAAGCACATGGTTGCTTGGGTATCCTCAGGGCATGTCTGCCAGGGGTGGACCCACTGGGCTTTCGTAGGTTCTAGAGTGAGTGGGCAGCCACTCAGCCAGTCTGGGGGCATGTCTGCTGGGAGTGGGAACACAAGGTTATTTCTCAGGCCCTGGGCACAGTTCCCCAGCTGCTCAGCTGGTCTGTACGTATGTCCACCAGGTGGGAAGATGGGGTGCCAGAGGCAGGCTGCTTTTATGCTTCCCTCCTGAGCTTCTGATGACCACAGGCACCTCTCTGCTCCTTTGCGGCACTCCTGCACTCTCCCTTTGATACTCCAGTAGAATCTTAACCATCTATTCATTGCTTGGTCCTTTCTTGTGGAGGAGATGTGCCCCAGGGGCCTCAGTCAGCCATCTTGCTGACATTTGCTTCTGCTATTTTTCCCTTTGTACTCTAATAAGTAGAAAAAAATGAGAAACGAACAGAGATGTTGAAAACCCTTCTCAGTTTGGCTTCTAAAATTCTTGAGAAAGGGCAATGCTGTATTCACCTGGGTGAGGTGCCCAACATTGGACCAAATAACTTTGATTGAGAAGTGGAAGCTGAAGGAAGGGATACAACTAGACCAGCTCATGTGAGCTGCTCACATGGACCAATCTTCCTGACTGGGAAGAAGGATGAAGTAGACACAGGCTTACCATTTTCAAAATAGTTCAAAATAAAGTGTATCATGAAGGAGAATTATTGATTAACCACGTATAATTTTTAAGATATTAACATATTTGATGATATGACTTCTAACTTCTGTTTTACAATGATTTCTTTCCTTTTTTTTTTAAATCAAATCAATGGTATTGCATGTTTTACAATTTCTGTGTAATTTTAATTATGGTTAACTATTGCCTATCATGTTGAATAAGACTTTGTGAGGAAATGCTGGCTCCCACGCTAAGTACATAAAATTGATTTCATTTATTCTTCTCCAAAGATGCTCTAGCGTCAAGCAGTTCATGCATGGATGAAACACAGATTACACAGAACAATTCAGCATTTCTCACAGAAGGTAATATGCTTCCTTAGTCATGGCCAACACGGAGGGATGGAAAGTTGAGTTTTCTTAGAAATATTAGCTGATGGCCTTACTGGAAGCCAGCCTATGACTACTTGAAGAATGTGGTGGTCTGAGTACTGTGATATGAAGGGTCCTGAATGACCCAACCTCTAGCTGTTCTCCAAACAAGCCTCTGAAGCTTTGCTAAGGTGGAGTGGTGGAAGAAGCAGAGATTTAACTACCTCTCAGATCTATGTTAAAGTACTATTGCTTTCTTCATCTAGTTATGTGTTTATTAACTTGCTGTGAAATGCAAGGGCTGGAGTACAAACCACATAAGAGACAGGTGACACCAAAACAGGATAGGAGAGATATAAATACAGGGTTTAGCAAAAACATCCTTCATCCACATAAAAGTTTGCCCCTTCATAGCTGATTCTGCTGATGCTACAGTGATGAAATCACTGACACTCACCTTTGTTACAGGTGAGTAGTGACGGATACTTTAGATGACTAATTACCTCTCACCAAACCTTTACCAAGTCACCAACTTGTTGATTTATGGGATGTGTGAGGTTCTATTTTGGAAGATGCTAGGAGGATGCAGGGCTTAGTTTTTCCTTTAAATGATGGACAGGGATCAACTTTCGCATATAGTGTTGATAATTGGATTGGGTATACAGAATAAAATCTGTGAATTAAGTTCACAGCTGAACTATCTGAAAGTGTATGCGTGACTAAATAGGAAGGAATGAAAACTCACCCAAAGCTATTTTGATAATTTCATGGATTTGCAATAAAATATTTTTTATGAAAAATGTCTAAAGGGAAATAAATCTTTCTTAAAAATTATATATCACACTACACTTTCACAAGAAATAAATATTTCTAAGCATCTCTTATCAGTAGGCATTATCATTTTTCATTTTTATGGGATGGCTCAACTGCTGAAATAAGTGGTTTTTTTTTTTAAGATCTGTGGATTTTACTGACTTTGTGATTCTTGTTTTAAATTTTATTTATTTATTTATTTTTGAGGTGGAGTTTCGCTCTTGTTACCCAGGCTGCAGTGCAATGGTGCGATCTTGGCTCACCACAACCTCTGCCTCCTGGGTTCAGGCAATTCTTCTGCCTCAGCCTCCTGAGTAGCTGGAACTACAGGCACACGCCACCATGCCCAGCTAATTTTTTGTATTTTTTGTAGAGATGGGGTTTCACCATGTTGACTAGGATGGTCTTGATCTCTTGACCTCGTGATCCACTCACCTCAGCCTCCCAGAGTGCTGGGATTACAGGCTTGAGCCACCGCGCCTGGCCTGACTTTGTGATTCTTTAAATGAAAAATGAACTAATGAACTTAACAAAATTTCTAGCTAGTTCAACCCAAATGCCATATTACTTTAAAAGAAAGAACTGTATATGAATACTTACCATATTTATGTTTGCCTAAAACAAAAACCTTAGAGATAGACATTTTTGTGCTCACCAGAGCTGAGGAGGAGACAACCACATCACTAATTTTTCCATTTTCTTTCCTGTGGCACATGAATTGTATGATAAAGACAACAGTTTCCACCACCTAAAGATTGATGTAGAACATTGCCTTTGTTGTTTAATTTACAATTCTCTTTGTTCCTAGATATTAAAACTTCTGAGTGAATATCAAAATCCTTTATAAAATGTATTATATTTCTAATAATACATAATACGGGAGAAAATTGGTTAATCTCTGGATTGGTTTCAATATATTATTTATATTTGGTGAATTTTAATTTTTTTATGTAAGTCTAATATTTTGGAATAAGATTACCAGCAAAGTTATGTTCTAGTGTAACTTCATGTGATATGTTAATAAATGTAACACATGAAATTATTTATTTTCTTTTATCATTCTCCTTCCATGTACGCATCCAGCAAATACTTCATGGCCTATACTGATGGGTAAAAATGCTGTGCTTTGTTGCCCTCCTATCGCACTAAAATACTTGATCATAATAACATGGGAAATAATCCTGAGAGACCAGCCTTTCTGTAAAAAAGCCTACAAGAAAGAAACAAATGAGACCAAGGAAACCAACTGTACTGATGAGAGAATAACCTGGGTCTCTAGACCTGATCAGAATCCCGCCCTTCAGATTCGTCCAGTGGCCATCACTCATGACGGGTATTACAGATGCATAATGGGAGCACCTGATGGCAATTTCCATCGTGGATATCACCTCCAAGTGTTAGGTAAGGGGCATCATATATTGTGGTATTTCACATCACCAGATCTGTGACTGAAGCAAGTGTCTCTCTGAGTTCCATATGCTTTATGTGAAAACCGAAGCATTTTTTTCTTTTTCATCTCTGCAGTTACTCCTGAAGTGACCCTGTTTCAAAGCAGGAATGGAACTGCAGTATGCAAGGCAGCTGCAGGGAAGCCAGCTGCACAGATCTCCTGGATCCCAGAGGGGGATTGTGTCACTGAGCAAGAATACGGGGGCAATGGCACAGTGACTGTTAAGAGTACATGCCACTGGGAGGGCCACGATGTGTCTACCGTGACCTGCCATGTCTCCCATTTGACTGGCAACAAGAGTCTGGACATAGAGCTACCTCCTGGTCAGTAATGGTTTTAGTTTTGACTTTTTCCCATTCTTTTAAAGGAGTTATATTAGGAAAAAAAAAAAAGAGGTGTGCAAATAGATTTTGTTCAAGGATCAAGGATGCTCTCTCCATTGTTCATTTTGATCTCTTCCCTGACCAAAATAAAGAGATGTGTTTCAGAGAATAGTCCAAGCATTTGTTGTAAAAAGCCCTTTTTCAGAATACTGTTTAATTCTATGATTAATGTTCACTTCTATGCTAGTAGTTAATTGGCATGAGTATTCTTTTAAAAATAATACTTATGGTTTATTGAAACATAAAGTATACTTTGAAGAACATAATTATGGTTTTATTAGAAGAATACATTCACTGACAAGTTGCTTTTATGAATTTTTAGTTTGGTGTAATTTTATTTTCCCGGCTTTTCATCACTCAATTTCTTAAATGTCTTATAATAACATTATGATTCAGTTCCTCACTGTTTATTTATTCTGCTTGCATCCTACTCTCATTTATTGTTATTTTAAAATGATAAAATATCAACAAACATACTGAAAGTGCAATTGTTCTGTAAGGCTTCATGAAAACCATTCGCCCTACCCCTGTCTTTGCAACCCAACTGCCATCTCCATTAAACTCCCCAGAGGTAGGTACTTTCAAATTTTCCAGTGTTTCTTCTAGTAGTTGGTGCCATTTTTAGATAATGTGCACATACTGCTATTTCTTACTGTATCAAATTTAGACATTATGTAATCACAACTTCTTAAGGTAGATGAGGATTTCATGTTACCTTCTTTATTTCCTTCAAATTTCAATTGAGGTAATGCAGTTGTTCATTCAATGGCCTCGGTTCCCATTAAACTGAATATTTAAGTCCCGTTAACTGCTGAATCAAGAAGTACACTCATGCTTTCCGTTTTGAATGTCGCTTTTCTGGACTGTATTATTGCTTTACCTCTTCCGTTTCCTTAAGAATGTAGGTACCTGTTGTAAACCATCACTAAGCCTATTGACAAAACTAGAGAACCCTTTAGTAATATGTTCCATATGGGCAGATTTATTAGGTAAGCTGTTAGTTCTATTTTTTCTCCAAGTCATTCTTTCTTGAGTTTTTCTGTGTTCTTGGTCTAATCTCCTGATTGGCCTCTAGACCTGCTGTACAGCTGCTGTCTTGGCCACTCGCATTGCCTCAATCCTCTTCTTAGCCTGTGTCTATGTAATCCGAGCTTCTTTTGTCTTCTACACATTTTTTTTTAACTCTTTCCTTCATATTTGAGACTTTTCTTCACTCTTCGGTAGTCCTTGGGTATGGATCATTTTGAAGTGAGCACTAATGAGCTAACTGGAAGCTCTACTAGTTAATGGTTGTGTTTGCCAACCACTTAGTACAGTGAAACCGAGGTACGTGATCTTTTAATAGTTAGCAGATTTGTTATATATCTGAAGGCCTTTTCTCTGGGGCTGTTCAGGCTCCGCAGAAATTAACTCAGCAGTCTCTGACCTTGGAGAGATAAGCCTACCAGTGTTTGGGAAGGGAGAGAACGGTGTGTGTATGTGTGTGAGTGTGCATGTGAGTGCGGCACTGTTGAGAATCAGACTTGCCTTTATACCTGTATTCGGTCTGGTCTGTTATTCTCACCCTCCCTGATGCCTGGATCCTTGACTTTGGAGTTTTTCCAGGCCATCTTCTCTGCCGGTTGGGAAAGGCGTGCGACGTAAGATGGGGCAGGAGACATGGTAACCTGCCTGTTCTCAAGACAAACTCAGAGAGGCTCTGAACTTTTAGCCACTCTTCACCCTCCACATACTCCTTTTTCTACATTTGGTGCTTCCTGCTCTAGAGGCTTCCTGGAGTTTCTGTGTGTACTAAGGCTTTTATTTATTCTATGTTGTAAATCATTAGCCAGTTTTCTATTCATTTCTCACTTAAAAACAGTGTGAAATCTTTCATCTGTTCTTGTCTTCGTCCCTCTTCATTTTGTCTTTGCAGATCTACACTAAAAAGATATTTTTAGTAACACTTTAGTAAGTTTTCATGAGGGAGAAGAGAAAAATCTTGTGTTAAAACCACCATGTTTTTATATCTATTATTTAAGTCATATGTTTTTTTTTTAGTAGTATTTACTGAAAAGAGCAGTTGTGCCTTGGTTATGTATGAAATCTCACCATTTCATATTACAATATGATGTCAGATTTATAGTGTTTCAGAACCGAAGGGAACTTCTTGTTCAAATTCCTATGTAATGCTAGGATGTCCCTGGTGTCTTCCTTGCACTGTGGATCTTCAGCCTCTCTAGTACACATTCAATGAGAGAGCTTAGTGGTTGGAAAACAAGGGTTTTTAAAAATGTTGTTTTAAACAGTGAAACCAAACATTCCATTTTCATATAACATATGGAAAATTCAATATTTAAAAACATCAACTTTGGAAGGAAAGTGGGAGGACCGGACACCAAGCTGCTCAGTTTCCTCTTCATCTCCTTCTGCTGCCCCTGAGCCATATTCTCGCCACACCAGAAGCATAGTTTGCAAATCATTGCCTCTCAAGTTGGCAATTCCTCTGTTGACTTGCATGCTTCTCAGAGTTTTGTATTGCTGCCAGCAGTTAATAAATAGAGTTCCTGGTATGTATTCATTTTAGTTTCAATGCCCTGGCAGAAAGATGATTGCAGAGTTAGAGTTACTTTTCCAAGTACCTTCCTTACAATTGCCTGTTCATTAATAAATGCCATTACTGCCCATTTATGAATGTTGGAGGGAAGAAACACTCTGCTATAAAAGAGTGGTAGGAATTCACCACTCATGAATCTCTAAAGCAACAAAACCCTAATGTAAGATGATGTTTGCTGAAAACTGTGGAATCTGCATTGAAAAAGCAACTTTAATAATTCTCAAACTATTAATGGGTCAGAAGAATTAAAATGAAACTACAGATATGAATTTCATGTAATGTGAGACATTATTGAGCCACCTAGATCTATAGACATGGCTATAAATATAGATAACTTTATTTTTAGTTGATGTTAATTTTTAGAGCAGTTTTAGGTTCACAGCAAACTGAATGGAAAGTATAGAAATTTCTCATATAACCCCTGCCCTTGCCCATGCCCACCTCCCGCACCTACAGGTATCCTGCACCACAGTGTTACATTTATTAGAATTGTTGAACCTCCATTGATACAACATTACCACCCAAAGCCCATACTTCATCCATTAGAGTTCACTCGGTGTTGTACCTTGTGCGTCTGGACAAACGTGTAATGACATGTATCCACCAGTACAGTATTAAACAGAACAGCTTTACTGTCCTACGCAGCCCTCCTGCTCTTCCTGTTCCTCCCTCCTTGCTCACCCCAGACAATCGATGATTTATTGACTATCCCCTAGTTTTGTCTTCCCATAATGTCTTACAATTGGAATCAGACAGTATGTCATCTTTCCAGATTGGCGTGTTTCATACGTCAATATGAAAATATACATGTAGTAATATACATTTGCAATTCCTCCATGTCTTTTTATGGCTTGATAGCTCGTTTCTTTTTAATGCTGAATAATAAGATAGTACGTTATTTGGATTGTACCACATTTGAACCCTATTTTTGTGTTTGTAGTTGCAGGTGCCAAAAAATCAGCAAAATTATATATTCTATGTATTATCCTTGCCATTAGTGTTTTGATCATCGTGGGATTCATTTGGTTATTGAAAATCGGTCGCTGCAGGTATTGACTGATGATTTTTCTTCTTCAGCTTAATTAGGCTAGAAAAGACTCAGAAATATGGAATTGATTGAGGTATATTAGGATGTTAACATCAAATTTCCCATAATCAAATCTTGAGGATATTAAACTTGGACTACTTTGAATGATGAGAGAGATTTTGCGAGGTTGCTTTTGCACAGAAGCCTGGAAAATTGGGCCATTTAGGGCAGGATCCTGGGAGAGAAAGTGCATGTTAATTTTTACATTTGAGTAAATAATTAGAATTTCTTCGTGTACCAAAGAGGTGCTGTTACATGCATTCAATTGCATCAGCTTATATTGCATAATTTCATTTCCTTTTTCAAAATCCAGAATATTCTTGCTTGGGGTTATTAATCACGAGCAGCATTCTTCACTCATTTCTAGTAGTTTCTTTCTTATTTACTATGGCTTCTATCAAAATTAACCACAATTGTCAATAGTATACTGTCTTATTTTTTCCCATTTTCAATCTAAACTATGTTTCCTCCACTGACTTCAGTTTTTTATTTTTATAGAAAACATAAATGGAATAAAACAGAAGCTACTCCAGTTGAGGAGGTAAGATAAAAAAGAATACTTACAAACTTAAGCCAATAGTCTGAAAATCTAGCAACTTCATTTGTAGTTTGTGTCAATATTAGTGTTTCAGTTGAAAAACAAACAATTCTGATTTACAATGCTTATATGTGTGACTACTTTGTTAATTATCTATCAAATACTATTTAGACATCAGTCTAGATGTACATTTTCATTTCATGAACTATATCCTAACACACATGATGTTTGCCTCCTTTGGACTGTTATCTTTGGAGAAACTAAATTGGTGTTTATTTTCACCAACTTAGGGCAGGATCTTGGGATAGAAAGTGTATGTTAACTTTTACATTTGGGTAAAGAATTATAATTCCTTCATGTACCAAAGAATAGTTGTTACAGGAATCAATGAAATGCTTTCTAAGGCATCTCTAATGCTGACTTTTCCTTTTCAATGCTGTCATCCTTTCTCTCTTACACAAACTTAAAACGTATCCTGCTCCTTAATCTCTTATTATAAGTAGCTTACTACTAATAAGTCTCCAAAGCTCTCCTTTGGAATACTCTTCATATCGCTTCATTCCTCTCCATTCCTACTTTCACAGAGCCACTGTCCCCATATAGAGACTTGTGTAATTGATAAATACTTTTTGATAAAATGTTAGAACAAAGCCTGCTCTTATGTTTATATGAGCCCAGGAACACAATTATAAGCACTCTGGAGCACCTGTTAGAAATAGAGCTACAAAAATAGAGATAGTTTCTATAAAGATTATTTTGAGTTGATTTTAACTTTGAGTTCTTTCTTAGGATGAAATGCAGCCCTATGCAAGCTACACAGAGAAAAGCAATCCTCTCTATGATACTACAAACAAGGTGAAGGTACCTCAGGCATTACAAAGTGAAGTTGAAACAAACCTCCATGCTGTATAATTTGCTGGACTCTTGCACCAAACAAGATATATGATAATTACTGTCTGATTTCCTTACAGTTCCAGAATGAAGACTGATATTGACATTAGGTTTTCCAAGGTTCTTAGAAGACGTTTTAATAAATTTTCATTTTAGATTCTTAGCTACCAGCTAGTTCTCTGAAGAACTGATATTATTACAAAGAAAATACATGCTTTTTTGCAGGACAGTAAATAATGAAAACCAAATTTCCTCCAGAAATAACTGAAGAAGGAACAATCATGAACAGTTTCTTGTGTATCCTTTCAGAATATTTTAATGTACATATGACATGTCTACATGCCTATGGTGTATGTGTCCACTTCTATGTCTATTTACATATACATACAGATATCTTTGTCAAGGCACCAGTGGGAAGAATACACTGCAATACTGTTCTATACATATGAAAACCAAATAATGTAAGTCTTAGAGATCATTTTATATCATCACGAGTAGAGCTACCTCATTCTTTTTAATGGCTATATAAAATTCCATTGTATAGTTATATTATTATTTAATTAAACGCAACTCTAATAATGGACATTTAGACTCTTTTAAGTTTTGTTTATTTCTTTTAAGTTTTGTTTGTGGTATAAACACCACCACACAGAATGTTTCTTGTGATTATGTCTCTTTGTTTTTGTTTGAGTATATCTGTAGGATAATTTTCTTAAGTGGAATTGTCATGTCAAAGGGTTTATAAATTTTACCACTGACATATATGTCAAATTGTGTCAAATACATATGTCAAATTCCCTCCAACATTGTTTAAATGTGCCTTTCTTTACATTTCTATTTTAATATCTGTAAGATTTCTGCTTCTACAGTTGCCACTTTTTCTTTTTAATCAACCAGATTAAATATGATGTGAGATTACAATAAGAATTATACTATTTAATAAAAATGAATTGATATTTTTGGTCATGTTTGTATGAGAGTGAATGCACCTGTGAGGACAATAGCTTCTTTTGAACTCATTCTATGTCTACAGAGGTGTTGATACTTGATGCCTAACAGTTTTGCAGATGCGCTACATTGGAATAGTGTATTTTTAGGGTGTACATTCTATTGTGATACATTTACTGAATAATGAATGTATACTGACCATATCAGCAGCAAAATATGCACTATAGAAGACATGGGGCATTATTTATAAGATATGAGCTACATGAAGAGAGAGTGGCCATGGGATGGCATGTCCCTCCCCTCTATATTTCTGTAGAGCCAAATATTGGCAATGTGTAATCATTTTTAATATCATGAAATTATTTTTTAATTATAAAAAATAAGTCTATTTGCTCCATAGAAGAAAAATAATTAAAAGTTTTTTTTCATGATAGAAATTAAAACAAAATATATTCATTCTTCAATCATGCCACCTTTTAAGACAGCTATTTTCTCTTAAATTTTTCTCCCTCTGGACATTTCAGTTACTATGGACTTTAATCCTTAAAAGGATTCTTAGTCTATTTTGGATGTAAAGCTAATCTAATGACACTTGGCACCTGATATTTTGATCCAAACATTTTGACTTTGCCAAAAAACACAGTCCATTAGGTTTCTGCATATAAATATGACCAAGCAATGTTCATAACAGACATGATTACACTGTCCTTGACCTTTACTAATTCTTCATCCAACCCTGGTTGAGCTGAACCTCATCGTTAGTTAGGTCCAAGACCATCTTTTTAAACATTACTGATAAAATAAGACAGTGCTATACTTACCTCTTAACTCGATAATGTCAAAACATCATGTTAAATGACATCGTAGTAAAGACTTCACAATAATTTATGAAAGTTAAGTGTTGCACATAAAATAATTGTACTAAAATCTCAACTACGGGCTGGAACAAGGGCGAACATTAGAATCATATAAAAAATTATACATATTCTCCAAACCCGTGCTAGACCTGTCAAATTAGAAAATCTAGAGATTATACCTGGAAGGTTAGCAAGGTCATCCAGGAAGCAGAGGCTGAGATGGAGTTGGGTGTGATCACTTACATAGTCAATTACGTTTTACAAATCTCATTTTATATGTCTCATTTACTGTGCTTTCTCCCCACCCCATTTTGTATCTTTTCCTTTTTGCTAGATTTGTCAATTTTCTCTCTGTCTGACTCTGTCTTTCCACATCTCCAGTTATGTGAAAGTTATTCATCATAATTATACATCTGTTGAGTCTATGCTTCATTTGCAAACTTCTGAAAATAGATTTACTGAGGTATAATTGATATATTTAAGTTACGATTTGTTAAATATTGACATATTTAAAATGTACTGTTTGGTAAATGTTGACATTATTTTACATCTGTAAAGCCATCAGCATGATCAAGATAATAAACTTATCATCCTCCACAATTTTCTTGTGTCTTTGTGAGCCTGTCCCTACAATCTTCTTGTCCCTCTTCATCCCTCACTCCCAAGGCAGTCTCTGATTTGCTTTCTGTAGCTATGTATTAGTTTGCATTTTCTAGAATTTTCCATAGAGAGGATCATACAATAGGTACTTTTTTTTTGGTTAGACTTTTTTTCTCATTATAATCATTTTGAGAAATATCTACACATTGATATATTATATATTATATATATTATATTTTTAAAGATTTATACATTATATATATCATGTTTCATATATAAAATTGATATATGTTATATATTCAATATATGACATTATATATATCATATATTTCATATTATATATATTATTTAGTTTATAATTTTAGTTATAAAATTCATTATTTGCAATAAAAAGTGTAAAGTATCAATGTGTAGATATTTCTCAAAATAATTATGAGAAAAGAAGTCCAACCAAAAAAAAGAAGAAATACCTGTCATCTACATTAGGTACTTCTCGTAATGCTATTTCTCCCCTAGCTCCCCACCCCCAACAGGTCCTGGTGTGTGATGTTCTCCTCCCTGTGTCCATGTGTTCTCATTGTTCAACTCACACTTATGAGTAAGAACATGTGGTGTTTGGTTGCCTGTTCTTGTGATACTTTGCTGAGAAGGATGGTTTCCAGCTTCATCCATGTCCCTGCAAAGGACATGAATTCATCCTTTTGTACGGCTGCATAGTATTCCATGGTGTATATATACCAAATGTTCTTTATCCAGTCTATCATTGATGGGCATTTGGGTGGTTCCAAGTCTTTGCTATTGTGAACAGTGCTTCAATAAACATATGTGTGCATATGTTTATAGTAGAATGATTTATAATCGTTTGGATACATACCCAGTAATGGGATTGCTGGGTCAAATGGTATTTCTGGTTCTAGATCCTTGAGGAATCACCACACTGTCTTCCACAATGGTTGAACTAATTTACACTCCCACCAACAGTGTAAAAGCGTTCCTATTTCTCCACATCCTCTCCAGCATCTGCTGTTTCCAGACTTTTTAATGATCACCATTCTAACTGGTGTGAGATGGTATCTCATTGTGGTTTTGATTTGCATTTCTCTAACGACCAGTGATGATGAGCATTTTTTTTATGTTTGTTGGCCACATAAATGTCTTCTTTTGAGAAGTGTCTGTTCGTATCCTTTGCCGATCTTTTGATGGGGTGGTTTTTTTTTTCTCATAAATATGTTTAAGTTCCTTGTAGATTCTTGATGTTAGCTCTTTGTCAGATGGATAGAGTGCAAAATTTTTTTCCCATTCTGTAGGCTTCCACTCTGATGAGAGTTTCTTTTGATGTGCAGAAGCTCTTTAGTTTAATTAGATACCATTTGTCAATTTTAGCTTTTGTTGCCATTGCTTTTAGTGTTTTCATCATGAAAATGCTAAAAGTCTTTGGCCATGCCTATGTCCTGAGTGGTATTACCTAGGTTTTGTTGTAGAGTTTTATGGTTTTAGGTCTTACATTTATGTCTTTAATCCATCTTCAGTTAAATTTTGTATAAGACGTAAGGAAGGGGTCCAGCTGCAGCGTTCTGCACATGGCTAGCCAGTTTTCCCAACACCATTGATTAAATAGAGAATCTTTTCCCCATTGCTTGTTTTTGTCAGGTTTGTCAAAGATCAGATGGTTGTAGATGTGTGGCATGATTTCTGAGGTCTCTGTTCTGATCCATTGATCCATATCTCTGTTTTGGTGCCAATATCATGCTGTTTTGATTACTGTAGATTTGTAGTATTGTTTGAAGTCAGGTAGCATGATGCCTCAAGCTTTTTTTTTTCTTTTGAGATGGAGTCTCTTTCTGTCACCCAGGCTGTAGTACAGTAGTGCCATCTTAGCTCACTGCAACCTCTGCCTCCTGGGTTCAAGTGGTTCTCCTGCCTCAGCCTCCTGAGTATCTGGGAGGATAGGCATGTGCTGCCAGTCCCGGCTAATTTTTGTATTTTCAGTAGAGACGGGGTTTCACCACGTTGGCCAGGCTGGTCTTGAACTCCTGACCTTGTGGTCCACCTGCCTTGGCCTCCCAAAGTGCTGGGATTATAGGTGTGAGCCACCTCACCCAGCCTTCTCCTGCTTTGTTCTTTTTGCTTAGGATTGTCTTGGCAATATGGGCTCTTTTTCAGTTCTATATAAAATTTACAGTAATTTTTTTCTAATTATCTGAAGAAAGTCAATAGTAGCTTGACGGGTATAGCACTGAATCTATAAATTACTTGGGGCAGTATGGCAATTTTCACAGTACTGATTCTTTCTATCCATGAGCATGGAATGTTTTTCCATCTGCTTGTGTCCTCTCTTCTTTCCTTGAGCAGTGTTTTGTAGTTATCCTTGAAGAGGTCCTTCTCGTCCCTTGTAAGTTGTATTTCTAGGTATTTTATTCTTTTTGCAGCAATCGTGAATGGGAGTTCACTCATAATTTGGCTGTTTATCTATTATTGGCTTAAAAGAATGCTTGTGAATTTTTTGCATTGATTTTGTATCAGAGACTTTGCTGAAATTGCTTATCAACTTAAGGAGATTTGGAGCTGAGATGATGAGCTTTTCTAAATATACAACCATGTCATCTGCAAACAGATACAATTTGACTTCCTTTCTTCCTATATGAATATTCTACATATCTTTCTCTTGCCTGATTGCCCTAGCTAGAACTTCCAATACTATGTTGAATAGGAGTGGTGAGAGAGGACATCCTTGCATTGTGCCAATTTTCAAACGGAATGCCTCCAGCCCATTCAGTGTGATACTGGCTGTGGGTTTGTCATAAATAGCTCTTATTATTTTAAGATACATTCCATCGATATCTAGTTTATTGAGAGTTTCTAGAATGAAGGGATGTTAAATTTTATCAAAGGATGTTTCTGCGTTTATTGAGATAATTATGCGGTTTTTGACTGTTTATGTGATGGATTACGTTTATTGATTTCTGTATGTTGAAGCAGCCTTGCATCCCTCCGATGAAGACAGTTGATTGTGGCGGATATGCTTTTTGATGTGCTGCTGGATTCGGTTTACCAGTATTATATTGAGGATTTTCACCCTGATGTTCATCAAAGATATTTACCTGAAGTTTTCTTTTTTTGTTGTGCCTCTAGTAGGTTTTGGTATCAGGATGATGCTGGCCTCATAAAATGAGTTAGGGGGGACTACCTCCTTTCTATTCTTTGGGATAGTTTTAGAAGGAATGGTACCAGTTCCTCTTTGTACCTCTGGTAGAATTCAGCTGGAATCTCTCTGGTCCTGGGCTTTTTTTTTTTTTTTGGTTGGTAGGCTATAATTAGTACCTCAATTTTGGAACTTATCAGTCTATTATTCAGGGATTTGACTTCTTCCTGTTCTAGTCTTGGGAGCATGTATGTGTCCAGGAATTTATTTATTTCTTCTAGATTTTCTAGTTTATTTGCATACAGGTATTTACAGTATTATCTGATGGTAGTTTGTGTTTCTGTGAGATCAGTGGTGATATCCCCCTTATCATTTTTTATTGTGTCCATTTCTTCTCTCTT